AGAAACAAAGTGTTAAAGAGGGTCCATCTGAACCTTCTAAAACCCCCCAACAAATGAAAGCCACAAGCTGGCTCATCTGCAGCAGCTCCTACTCCAACAAAGAAGCGAAAGATAAAGAAACCAGATTGTAGGCCTAGATCTCCAACTCCAAATGATAATGAAGGTTCCTAGTGTAACCCAGACGTTCGCATTGAAGGGGATGAGCCACTCCAAAATGAAAACACTGCAACAACTTCACATCCTGAGGTTTCGTAACTGATTTCTTCGAATCCTGAGGTAACTATTGAGATTCCTGTCTCGGTTCCTATTTCTACTGATTAAGTTGAGAATGTATTTATTCCATCTCCCACTACCACCATTTCTACACCCATCACTATTGTTACATGCCCATCTGTTACTTTGGGCATTTCGCAAACCCCACCCATTTTCAACGATTCCACCACGACACCAACAACATCTGTTGAGGCTCCTATTTCTGTCAACGCATCTGATGCACGAACAGGAGCTTCAGGTTTCACAAATTGTCATATCACATCACCCATTTCCCCTCTTCGCAAAATCACCCGGATATGATTTACGGTGATGATGTAGATGACTTTGCGAGATTCTCCAACAGTTCATTCAACACCAAGACTGAAAGTAACGACGAAGCTCCCGTCACGAGAGGGCAACTCAAGGCAATACACACAAAATTGGACTCACTGCTTCACGCTTCAAAGGCATCATCCACTGATGATTATTCTCAAGAAACAATCAAGTCTCTTCTTGAGACCCTTACAAAAGAGCATTCTGCCAAGCTTGAATAAATGAACAAGCCGGTAGATGCTTCTACCACTGTTTCCAACAACTTGACCAAAAAAGTGGACAAACTAACTACAGATGCAAGGGTATTCATGGAGAAGTTCCAAAGATCCTTTGAGTCTAACACTACAAAGGCTAACGAAGTCATTTATAGCCTGGGATCCACCCTTAAAACTGAGAAGGTGAAACTTCAGGAGGTTCGCACTGGTCTTACAACTAACCATGCTCAGTTCAATTACTGCATCTCCTCGCAAATATCTAAGCTTCAAGATAATATCGCAATGGAGAGAAAAATAATGGATGCTCTTGCTGTCAAGACTGAAAAGGTGAAACTCCTGACAGTCTAACTCGAGAATGATGAGAAACAAGTCTATGATTTGTTATTTGAAAAAGCAGCTATGAAAAGCTATACCACAGATGTTACTGGCATGATTTCAGATATCACTGAGACTTGAGACTCAATGATTATGATTACAGTGAAGAGACATCTAGCTGAGAAACTAAGGCCCATCTTCGCCATGCTTCATCGAATAGAAGGTGTTCCAGAACCTAGCTCCATTCCGAAACAAGGGGAGTAGGTATGTCACAATCAAAGAAGGAAGACCCCAAAGGCAAGAAGGAAGCCAATCACTTTGTCAAAAGTGAATCTGAGCCTAAAGGCAAAGAAAAACTTTTCACTGAAGAACCTATGGTTGACAACAACAAAGACGAAGAGCTTGATGAATACGAGCTTAAAAGGAGATAAACACGTGAAGCAGAAATGGATTAGCATCAAAGAATAATACACGAGGCTAAAGCGAAAGAGAAAGAAGAACGAGAAGCTCAGGTCACACTTGAAAGCCGAAATATTTTATTTCCAGAGTGGACTCTGAAGCGAATTCAGAATGAAGTCGTGGATTTTCCGAGTCAATATTGGCTGGAACTAGCTGTGTCGTTCAAGCTTCAGAATACAAAAGATTCATAGCTGGATCTCCTAATAACTCCAAATCCTTCAAGTTTTTCTCTTTTGTAAAAGTAGAAAATCTCCCATCCTCTGATAGCGGTGCTGACCATTTGCTCCTCTCGTTTTATCTCAAGCATATGAAGCCACAATACGAAACATGGAGTGCTAGCAAGATTACTGTAGTGAAGCTCACAAGTCCACTCGAAACCGACAGTTTCCTAAATGCGAAGTTGTAACACCCCATTTCTGGTATGTAATTCAAATAAAGTATTTTCTTTTCTGAAGGGGTACTCGACGAGCCTGTAGCCTAACTCATCGAGTAGAGACGGGATGATCACGCGTTTGAGCTGGCTACTCAATGAGTCCCTACTCTGGACTCGGCGAGTCCGCCTGTCTGGATGAAACCCTAATTTTAAGGGTTTGCACCCTATTTAAAAACACTTATGTGCCCCCAATCTCACCTCTATCACTCTCAGAACATTCCCTCTGTAAACCCTAGCTCCATTTTTGAGTTTAAGTGTGTTTGTGATAACTTGGAAGCTTTGGAAAGGAAAGAAGGTCCATTGAGGGGAAGGAAGATCCAGGAGTTAGTTTACATATGATCTTCATCTAGGTAATGAAGTTATGACCTTGTGCATTCCTCCTTTATGCTTGTTATGCTTTCTATGGAACCTTTTATGATTCAAAACTTGAGATATGGACTCTCCTTGGATGAAAACTACAAATCTAGACTCTTATTACATTCTAGAAGTACAAAGTTTCAGTTAAGGTCGTGATTGAAGTCCCTCTTGAGCTTGGAACCCCATTAAGAGCTTAGGTTTGGCATTTGAAACCTTTAAAGCCATGCATGCGTGTAAAGTTTACAACTTTACATGATAAACATGCCCTAGAAGCATGGATCTGTGAATTAGAGCCGCTGCATGGATCAAATCAGGCCTGTATGGAAAAGGGATTAAATGGAATCAGTGAGTCATATGAAGATAGCCTTGGACTCGACAAGTTGGATGAGCAACTCGGCGAGTCCGATGAAGATTGCCTTAGACTCGACGGGTTGTTCTACAACTCGACGAGTCGGATGAGTTTTTCCCAAGAAAAGTAGTGTTTGAGTGAAATGACTTCATTCCTTCATAGTTACATGTAAAGTCAGCAACTTTACGTGTTCAGATGGTCCCAAGGGCTCCTATCTATGAGTTAGAGGCCCTGAAATGGATTAGAATTCGATTGCATGGAATATGCGTTTTGTCTCATCAAGTTGTTCTTCGGACTCGACGAGTCGAGTCGCGAGTCCTCGTTTTCTCTTCGAGTTGTGAGTTCAGAATGAATCAGTGAGTGGGAAAGGGGCTCAGATTGTTAAAGTCAGAATTAGTAAAGGAGGGACCCGGCGAGTTTGCGCCCTGACTCGGCGAGTCCGGTCGACTGGAAGTTGACTTTTACCAGGGGTATAATAGTCATTTTAGCCTTAGTTTGGTTATCAGTAGTTGATTGAGTGTGTTTATGGGAACTGTAGCCGGGAGAGACCGGAGCAGCTGCAGACAGTTCCCGGGTAGAATTTCAGCAGCTAACTTTCAAGGTGAGTTTTCCTTCCAGTAGGAACGTGTCTACGGCCACAATGTCGGCCCGTCTAATTAGCAGTCAGTTCCGGACTTTGGTCTGATGCAGTAGTTCAATCTGCTTGTTGTCTTTATGATTCAAGCACGTTTTTGTGTTATGTGTTCCGGACATCGGTCTGATGCAGTGTGCAATATATTTTTTTATGCTAGTTGATATGTTTATGCTATGCTATGCATTGCTCAGTCAGTTTCCGGACTTCAATCCGATGCAGGGGACAAGGTCCCAATCAGTTCCGAATTTCGATCCGATGCAGTTTGTTTCGGACTTCGGTCCGATGAGGGGGCAAGGTCCCAGTCAGTTCCACACTTCGGTCCGATGTAGTTTCTGGAATTCGGTCCAATGCAGAGGGCAAGGCCCTGGTTAGTTCCGGACTTCGGTCCGATGTAGTTTCCGCACTTCGGTCTGATGCAGTGGGCAAGGCCCAATATGTGTTTATATGATTGTATTTATGTGGTAGTCTGTGAGAGCTCACTAAGCTTTGTGCTTATAGTTTCAGTTTTGGTTTCAGGTATTTCCGCAAACAAAGTGAAGGTCTCAGGATGATGGCATCGCACACACCACAACTTCAGTTTTATCTTGGGAGTTGGTTTAGTTTTTCCTAGATATGAATTGATACAGTTGATATTGTTTTTATCACGACACGTTATTATGGTTTTGAGATATTGACGTATGATTTCTATTTTATGGCATTCGATGTTATGGTTTTAGTATTATTTTTAAAAAAATTGGGTTGCATTTTGGGCTGTTACAGAAGTTCAAGGTCGTGATAGGTTCTTCTAGTCAGGTTCACAAATTCACTCTCGCAGAGATGCCTTGCCTCAATCCCTATGACTGGATCATGCTTTACAATTTACTGCTGAGAGACGGACAGAAGTACGATCCCGTTATTGCTAACCTCAAAAAGATCATAGTTTCATATGTTCAAGAGGTAGGCAAAATGGATATGGAAATGGTTGTTGTACTACGAAGGAAGCCATCTATTCTGCCTAAAGAAGTTCCAGAAGGATTTGAAAAGTTTAAGCTTGGGAATATATATATATATATATATATATATATATATATATATATAGAGAGAGAGAGAGAGAGAGAGAGAAGGATGGTATGTGGTATTTTATGCGCAAGAATGAAACAATGCAAATTTTCACAAGGCTTATTTCTTCCTCCCTAATAAACATTTGTACTCTACCTCTTGCCTAGAGTATACTTTGGACATGGTCAACAAATACAAGGGCAATGGCAACGGAGACAAAAAGTGCTTTTCGGATATGATTCAATGGTACATATAGGTTCGCAAAGCTCTGCTAAGCATAATTCGAAAAGTTTTTGAAGTGCAGAAGTGACCTCAGCCTTGATGGACTCTCGCCTCAATTAACGCAAGGGGGAGATTGTTGGGTATATGTGTTGCGTCGTTGTTGTTATTTATTTAGTCTATTTTGTAAACGGGCTTGGGCATGTCCACCCATTAATTAGTATTAGGGTTATAGTATTTAAGGTGCATGCATGCACTGTGTTTTAACAACATCAGTAATATTCTTGTAACCCTAATCAAGCCTCTACATTAGCAATTCTTAATAGAGTTCTTCTAAGGTTATGGCTTATAATCACTAAACATATTTTGATCTACTGTCGTGTTCTTGTTTTTAATCTGTTTTGAATCTAATCGATCTTTCAAGGTTTAATATCCCAACAAATTCCAAGCAAAATAATCCAAATCCTAATAAATACAAAATCTGCAACAGAACAAGAACTCTGTCCAAGTTAATTGTAGTGGCTCATTAGGGCTTAGGGTCTTCCCCAAAGTGTTCCACCAGCGAACAACGCCAGCTCTGAGCTGAGGCACTACAAATGTGGATTGTAACTTGCCTTGGCAACCACATGCCATAAAGGGTAATTCCATCTCCGAGATCCAATCTATTACTCCGACGGGATCTTCCTTTCTACTGAAAGTTGACGGCTTACAAGTCATAAAGTCTTTGTACTTTCAACCATTTCTATCGATTCCATCCTCTTGGTTATTCCGCCTAACCACAAACGGTTTAGTTTGACCCACATATCTATTGTAATTTCCTTCCTCTGACTGAGCGTCATTTAGTTCGAGTTATTCAACAGGCATTGAAGGTTCATTCCTATTGTTCAACAATAATTGTCTCATTTCCTCCCTTAGTTCAACCATCATAGCCTTGTACTCCAGCCATTGTGATTGGTTCTGGTGTAGCTTCTACTATAGGCACTTGTTCCATCACTTGGGGTTGAGGTTGTTGATTTCTGTTTGCATTTCCAGCTCCACTTTCGGTTCTTGCCATTATGATCTATACAACAAATTAGGAGAATTTTGATCTTTATTCACGATAGATATTTAAATTTGTCTTTATGACTCAGAAATGTTACATGCTAGTTCTAATATCGTAGTCGTACGCTTAGAATCCTGAACACATAAGGTTTCTAGATCTGGTCGACAATAGACCATAGATCCGAATAAATAATGGCATATATGGCAAACATATAGCATTTATCACATAAAATCATTTTAGGCATATTTCCTAAAATATACTAGTGCTCTTGTCTAAATATGGTAGACACTCATCTTACGGTCATCACTTAGCATTCTAAGTTTTAGTCTCGAAATCCTACAAATTTCTAGTTCACTCAAACTAATGCTCTGATACCAACTGTGACATCCCCATTTTCACGGTCAGAAAAGACCTATTCTGTTTATGCTTTTAAAACAAAATCAAAGTAATCTTTCAAAAAATGTTGCGGAATTTGTCCCCAAAACAAAATATGATAAACATTTTCAAAGCATTTCTTAAATAAATGTATTTTTCTTTTCATTACAAAGCTTAGGATGTCGACATCGATATAGACCAAAAGCATAAACAGTACAATATATGCCTTACGACAGTTATTTACATATATTGGCCTATAATCCAAAATCTCTCATCATCGTCCAACTATGCCCTTGTTCCACTACCTGTAATACAGAAAATTGAGTGGGTCAGACTTAGGAGCCCGGTGAGCACACTGGGTTTTCATCCCACAATAAATAAATTTATTAAGTTTAATCATTAAACAATAAATCCAATTTCCCATCCCCATTATCTTGTTTAATCTTAAAGATCTTAAGAATCATTTGTCCTTTATTCATTCATTCCTTAGGGTTATCCTAAAGAATAGGCACGAAGTCCATCGTT